CCTTTTTCTAGAGGCTTCGTTTGCCTTATTAATTTATCTAGATCCTCGCCCGTCTCCTAGTTTCAGCTGCTCCTTGCTTCTTCCCAAATCTCAGCCACATCGATTTCTCTGCTTCGCTTTCACTCTCCGAAACTCAAATCTTACAGCTCAGCTTCCCCAATCCTACCATGGCGAAATTCGGCGAAGGTGACAAGCGCTGGATCGTGGAGGACAGACCCGACGGCACAAACGTCCATAACTGGCACTGGTCCGAAACCAATTGCCTTGAATGGTCTCGGAATTTCTTCAACAAGCAATTCTCCGGCATCGATATCCTCTCCGGCGAAGGAAATCTATTCATCAAGGTGAATAAGATCGAGAAGGTCGAAGGCGAGGCTTACGTGAATGTAAGGAAAGGGAAGATTATCCCTGGGTACGAGCTTAATGTATCTCTATCTTGGGAAGGTGAAGCGAAGGATTCCGAAGGGAAATCGCTGCTGAAGGCTGATGGATTGGTTGAGATGCCTTATATCTCCGATGAGAATGCAGATGAAGATCCGGAGATTAGGTTTTCGGTGAAGGACGAGGGACCGATTGGGAAGACATTGAAGGAAGCGATGGTGAAGAAGGGGAAATCGATGATTCTGGAGAAGGTTAGGGCTTATGTGGAGAGCATGGCGAGAGGTGGTCCGTGCAAGGACGAGTTAGAGACGAAAAAAGTAGCGCCGAAATCGGTGGCGGCTGGGTCTGTAGCTACGGTGGCGGTTGAAAAGTCTGGTGGTTCTCCGGTGGTATCTGCTGCGGTGGAGACTAAAGTAGTGAAGGAGAAGAAGAAGGCTAAGACGAAGGAAGGGTTCAAGACGATTACTATGACTGAGAAGTTTAATTGCAGAGCTAAGGATTTGTATGAGATTTTAATGGATGAGAATCGTTGGAAAGGTTTTACACAGAGCAATGCTAAGATCAGTAAAGATGTGAATGGGGAGATTAGTGTCTTTGATGGGTCTGTGACTGGAATGAATCTGGAGCTTGAAGAAGGCAAGTTGATTGTCCAGAAGTGGAGATTTGGGAGCTGGCCTGATGGTCTTGATTCAACGGTTAGTTTTAGTGATTGTTTTCCTTGTGAATGGTGAAACATATAATAACCTGATATCAATTTGATTGTGGTTGATGAATTGGTTTATTTTGCTTTGACGTTTCAGGTGAAGATCACTTTTGATGAGCCTGAACCAGGAGTCACCATTGTCAATCTTACTCACACTGACGTTCCTGAAGAAGACAGGTTAGTGTTACTTCTGGAATTGCTGTGTTCTTGTCTTCCTTATAATGAGTTGGTCTTGATTCTGAGTCTTAACTTTGGAAATTGGAGAAAAAAATACAATGGAGCTTTTAAGTTTTTGGAACTCTTAACATGTTATTCGTCACAGAGTGGAGAGAAGTGTTGAGTGATAATGTTTTGTGTTTGATAGAATGAAAACTCCTGGAATGTGGGACTGTAGATAGAACTCTTCTGTCCATGTACAAAGCTAGAACGAAGGGACTATTTAACTACCTTTAGGATTTAGCCAACTAAATATCCCAATGACTGACACTACCGATAAGTCTCCCATTTAAGCTAATCCTTGCCACTGATCAACATGCTGTATGTAGTTGATGGACTCTCTTAGTCTTCCCTCTAGTCACTTGCTCTCGGTTTTGAGTTAGAACTTCGAAATATAGAAAACCTAGAAAACAACTTTTAAACACTCATAGGTTTTTCATTCTCGAAGTGAAAGGAGTGATGAGTGACATGTTTTGTGAACGAGAGAGAGAATGCATTTTTATTGGAATTTGGTTTTGTTGTATTGCTTGGTATATGATAGAACACTCTTATCCTCGACGTCCAAATCTAGAACTTTGGGATTACTAGAGAGAATCTCAAAATTTCCCACTAACCCACATCTCTGTTGAGTAAACTATCCATATGCAATTCCTTGCCACTAGCTAACTCTTAGGTTATGCTGATGGTAGAATTCTTCTTTGTTCCTTATGAACACTTGTTAGCTTAGTACCAAATGTCTGTGATGTATATGTTTGCCATATTCTATGATTCCTTGTTATGTGAAGCAAATATCTTAAAGGGTTGTTTTTAACTTTATGGTTTCCTTGGTATATATGGCATCTGTCTTAAAGTGATTCTGTGTTATCGAATGTTGCTCCATTGATGTAAACTTATTGTCTCTGATGTTTCCATTGATTGATGCAGATATGGGAATGCGACTGTGGTGGAAAACACTGAGAGAGGATGGAGGGATCTTATATTCCATAGGATCCGTGCTGTTTTCGGTTTTGGAATATGATTTTGGATCATCGAATAAACAAAATCAGCATTGCTTAATCTATAACTTGATTATGATTTTCAATTCAAACATGAGGGGACTAATAGACAATGCAAGAATGTTTGATTCCAAAGTTTTTCAGATTTAGTTAATGCAATTTCCCATGAACTTATATCAATCTCTTTCTTTAGTTCATAGGCCGTAAGGTGATCAGCCATCCCGTTTGTTCTGTTTTCTTCTCACATTACTTTAAAAAAAAA